TCTATCGATTCGCTCACCTACCTTGCTAAAGTGTTTGCACAAGTTTCACCATTATGCAAGGTGCCATGTCACTGCTTTGATATGCAGTTGGTAGACTTGCTGTTTAGACTGACCAAATTTAATCGACGGACAGATATATCTGTAGGTGAAATCATCGGGCTGCACCATGTGATCATTGTCTATTTTCCCCAGAACTTGAAGTGGTCGCTACAACTGTTCGTAACTTATTTCGTGTTGAACTGAGCGTTCGCCTGACCAATGGATATGTTGGGCGGAGCCTGGGATACTAGTCGGTAAGCAATGACACGTAAGACGTGTCAAATACGACAGTATAGAAGTCGGAGGCAACTGAACCCAACGTATATTGTGAGGCTACAAGAATAGGAAGCGAATCAGAGAGAGCGAGAAACGTGCAGCGAGGAACTCACCAAAACGGTTTGTGACAACGGATGTGCAGTCAGTTAAACAAATGGACGTTTCGAAGGTTAAAACAACCATAAAATCCAATGTTACAAGATACTGAAAGAGCATGTTTTCTGTTGCACTACAAGGGCCTCCCCCTAGAAGGCTGAAGGATGGAAGCCTTCGATGGAGCTGTTAGTGGGGGGAACGGAAGGTGAGGGTGGATGCGAATGTTTGCAGGGGCTTGAGAAGGGCTTCCAAAGTGGGGTGTAGCAGATTTCGCTGGGTCCAGGCTTTTGTTAGTTTTATTTATGACGATCGTGTGGACCAGAGTGCATCATCGGTGGGCCGTCGGGGCGGGCTGGTCGGACTGCAAAAAAAACTGGCTAGTCCAGAAAAAAGGCCGACAGGACCTTCCCATTGCTGCAGACCCGACGGTGCGCTTGGGAGGTGTCACTCCCCCCACCGCACTTTAGTCCACGGTCCTCGTCCCACGAAGAAATCAGGCGGGCGTCCTCGTCCCACGAAGAAATCCGGCGTCCTCGTCGGCAATGCCTAAGCGGCGTTTGGGGACCAATTTCTTCGTGGGTGGTGCGATCGAGGGCGACTATCTGTTCCTTGGGGTAGGAAGGGGGCTTTGGGACGGCTGGCGAGTCACACCAGGGTTGCGTTGAGCCGGTTGGCGAGTCACTCGAGGGTTGCCTGGGCAGTTCCGGCGGTTGAGTTTCTGGAAGTAGAACTCAGAGGGGGTTGGCAAGGGTCTGGGAAGTGGCTTGACGCCGGAGAGGGAACATGGCATGTATGATAAAAGCAAATACGCTTTTTAGGTTTTTCAAAATGTTTTGGGTTTTTTTGTCGATTTTGCAAAACGTTTGTGGGTGAGACGCAGGATAACCATTAAAGACGAAAAAGGCGTGTTAATGGAAATAGCAAACGCTTACAAAATCGGAAAAACGGACCGGACGTTTGACCTGTCTACCGCGTCGGTCGGTTGCCTGGGGTTGCGGCGGGATAGGTTGCGGATCAAGGGGTACGGAGGGTTCCGGGTTATCCAGTGCTCGGGAAGTCACCACAGGTGCGGGTGCTTGTGCGAGAGCATCAGGATGGGCTGCAAGTGGCTCGTCAAAGAAAGCCACTTTGAGGCGGTCGATGGACACCGTTGTTCGGTGACCATTCTGGTCTATAGTAAAATGTTTCGGAGTCCGTTGTAGAACTCTGAAAGGGCCAGTGTAGGGAGGCTGGAGAGGGCGCCGCACTGCGTCGGTGCGGAGGAAGACGTGAGTGCAGGTAGAGAGTCCGCTGTGCATTTGCACATCTCTAGTCTGTTCACGGGGCGGGGTCGGGCGTAGTGAACGCATGCGCTGAGCTAGGGAGGACGCAAAGTTAGGCGGAGGCATACCCGACGATGCGGGAGGTGAAACGAATTCTCCTGGTAACTTGAGCGTCGTGCCGTAAACCAGCTCTGCTGGTGCACATTGCAAGTCAGCTTTGATGCTGCTGCGAATGCCTAAGAGTACGAGCGAAATGTTTTCGCTCCAGCTAGGGTCGGAGGAGGCGCAGAGCGAGGCTTTAAGCTGTCTATGGAAACGTTCAACTAACCCGTTGGCTGCTGGGTGATACGCTGTGGTATGGATGCGGCGACAACCTAAGAAGTTGCAGAACGTATCGAATTGTGAAGATTCGAAAGGCGTTCCGCGGTCAGTTGTGATGGTGGATGGGCATCCGTAGTGCGAGACCCATCGGTCCAAGAAGGCCCGGATAACAGTCTCAGCTGTGCAGTCTGTTACGGGAATGGCTTCTGGCCATCTGGTGAAGCGGTCGACACATGTCAGAATGTATACGAATCCGCGCGACGGAGGCAATGGACCTACCAGGTCTAAGTGTACATGCGAGAACCGAGAGTCCTGGGGCAGGAAATGAACCAAGAGGACTGCGGGTGTGACGATGTACTTTAGAGCGCTGGCATTGAAGGCAGGCGCGAGCCCAGGTACGAACATCTTTGTTTACGCGTGGCCAAACGAAACGTTCGGTGACCAGTTTCAAAGATGCACGGATACCGGGATGTGATAGTGAGTGTAGTGCGTCGAAGACTGTGCGTCTGAAGGAGACGGGCACGAAGAGTCTAGGACAACCTGTGGAAGTGTCACAGAGAATGGTTCCTTCCGTGGTTTGGAGAGGAACAGGTTGCACATGCAGCGAAGTGGACTGCAGAGTGCGCTGTATATCTTCGTCTTGAGTCTGAGCCGATGCCATTGCGGCAAGGTCGACGGTAGGCAAAGACTGCAGAGTGAGGTTGACGCGTGAGAGAGCGTCGACGACGGGATTGTCGACACCTGAGACATGACGTATGTCAGCAGTGAACTGCGTGACAAAGTCTAGGTGTCTTGTTTCTCGTGGTGAGTATTTGTCGCTAGCAGAGTTGAAGGCAAAGATAAGGGGCTTGTGGTCAGTGTAGACCGTGAAAGCGCGGCCTTCGAGTGTGTGCCGGAAGTGGCGATACGCTAGGTAAATGGCTAGCAGTTCTCTGCCAAACGTGCTGTAGCGGGATTCCGCTGGCTGCAGGCGCTTGGCGAAGAATCCAAGGGGTTGCCATTGCCCACCAACGTGTTGTTGGAGGACGGCTCCTACCGCGACGTCTGAGGCATCAGTCGTAATAGAAAGAGGTGCAGTCGATTCGGAATGAGCGAGGAGGGCTATGTTGGAGATAACATCCTTGAGCTCGGCGAAGGCTGCCTGTGCTGTGTCAGGGAAAGCGAACTTACGTTCATTTCCTCTGAGTAAGTCAGTCAGTGGCTGCATGAGCTGAGCGCAGCGCGGAATGAAGCGTCGATAGTAGTTGATCAAACCACGAAATCGACGGAGGTGCTTGAAGGAAGTCGGAGCTGGGAAGTCCTTGATTGCCTGGATCTTATCAGAAAGGACTTCGATACCAGACGATGAAACGACGTGGCCTAGGAATTCTACCGTTGATTTGCCGAGTTCGCACTTAGTCGGGTTGACAGTGACACCGTGTTGGGTCAAGCGCTGGAAGAGAGCTCGAAGATGCTCGAGGTGCTCTTGTTCCGATGAACTGGCTACTAAGATATCATCGAGGTAGGAATATGCTAAGTCAAGGCCACGAGTAACATCGTGGATGAATCGTTGGAAGGTTTGTGCGGCGTTGCACAGTCCAAATGGCTACCTTTAGTTTCTCAGGCGATAGTCGACGTGGACGGCATGACACAGGTAGGCCATTCGTCCGTATGTGGTGCGTGACTTGAGCTGCCACGGGCAAAGCTGCGTTTATTGGCTGAACGAGCTTGGGATACTGAGAAAGGAGATTAGCGTAGGCTGACGAGGTCTGAGGAGATGCATAGACCGGGGATATAGATGTCACATCGGCGGTGATGCTACGTACGCTGAGTTTTGTTGCATTGTCGACTATCATCTGGCGTTTCGCATCGACCAAGAGGTCGAAATGCCTGAGAGTCAATGCAGATGATGGCAAAGGGGGCTGCAGCGACGGTGAATACCCAACGGAACGCGCGCCGAAGACCTGAGTCCAGGGTAAGTGATCGATGACCATAGGTGGCTATTGGTGTGCCATTGGCGGCACTGAGGCTTGTCGACAGAGAAGCGGTAGGCTCACCTGGCATAGGGGGAATGACGATGACTTCCGCCCCGGTATCAACTAAGAACTGGGTATCGGAGTCATAGTCCCTAATGTAGATGAGACGACTTTGAGCTTTGCTGACGTTCGCGGCCATTACAGGCCGGCGTGGCGGATCATCTATAGCGGAGTAGCTACACGGCTGTACGCACTTACGGGCTTTAATACCGAAACGCGAGTGGTAAAAGCAGTAACCTGAGGCATCAGGTTTTGTGCGACGGTGCGATGATCCAGAGCGGTTGCAGTGCTTACGTTTTAAGGTGAGTTCTTTGATCTGGCGCTGAAGCGACGCTATCTGCAATGATAACGCATCTATTGCCGATGGAGGGCTAGTCGCGTCTGTCGTTGTAGTTGCGCCAGCGCAAAGCTGCTTAGGTGCTTCGGTTTCAGTCTCAGGCTGGTGCCGTTCGATGACGCGGTCTGCTAGATCTGCAATTGCCGTGATTGGCAAGTCACCTGCTACTGCAAGCATAGCCTGTGTGCTTTCAGGAAGGCGTTGCATCCACAGCTCGCGGAGAATCCCTACGTCCATGTTGGACGTGCCGATGAGCTGTTGCATCTCGCGCAACAAGGCTGAGGGCATCCTATCTCCCAGCTGCAGATCAATAAATAGTTGCTGCAGACGGACCTTGTCAGAAGGCGTGATGCGCTGAATAATAGCCTGTTTAAGTGTCTCGTATTTCCTTACTAGAGGGGGGCAAAGTATGATGTCTCTCACCTGCGAGGATATATTATAAGGAAGGCAAGATGTTAACTGATTATACATGGCGAAATCAGAAGAAAGCTTACGAATATAAAAAGGCGGATTCTAAATGCAAAAACCATAATAAAGGATCATTCTCCCAAAAAGGAGGGGCCAAGGCAACCGAATTGACCATGGCAGGCTGAACGGCGTTAACCGCGCATGGAGACGGCTTATCCTCTAGATTATCCATTGCAAAAAGCAGATAAAATATGTGGTAGGTGAGAAAACAATATGATCACAAGGAATGAATCACAAAATCACTGGAACGAGCTCACCAGAATGAAAATGCAAAATGGCGGGCGGCGTGTTCCTGAAAGGGGGTCACCAATTGTTGGGCGGAACCTGGGATACTAGTCGGTAAGCAATGACACGTAAGGCGTGTCAAATACGACAGTATAGAAGTCGGAGGCAACTGAACCCAACGTATATTGTGAGGCTACAAGAATAGGAAGCGAATCAGAGAGAGCGAGAAACGTGCAGCGAGGAACTCACCAAAACGGTTTGTGACAACGGATGTGCAGTCAGTTAAACAAATGGACGTTTCGAAGGTTAAAACAACCATAAAATCCAATGTTACAAGATACTGAAAGAGCATGTTTTCTGTTGCACTACAGATATAGGGGAATTTCCAGTAGCTTTCTTATCCTCCCATATTTTAACTAACTTGCGCATTATGCTAGACCCGATGTACCAACAACCCGAAAATGAAGATTATTAGCGCATCGAAGGTTGCAGTTCTAAACCAGATACTCGAAGAAGAACTCCAGCCGCAGCTTCAGCATCGGGAGAAAATGAGCTAAGTTTAAGCTGAGCAAATCGAAGATGTCACTTTCAAAAATCACCTGCCCGTCGATACTGGATAGACCATCCAACCAGCAAGATTGTCCACTGCACATTACCCCAACTTAGATGCTATCTGGAATGGTGGCGAAATGCGTGTAAACAATGATTCCAGCTGGGCGAAAAATCAACAACTGAATATTCAAATTGTTCTATTGATGAAATAACTTAATTCGACTTTGCGCAAGGCTTCATTGTGTGTTCCCTCATCTCTGTAAACCAACCGCTGGCCTTGACCTTCGCGTTAGTATTGTGCATCCTCCCCTGTTCCACTTAGCAGTGTCCAACACTGTTAAGTAAGGGCTTTGCTTTTGTTTTCGTAGTTTATTTCGATCGTCTCAAGTTCCCCGCGCCACGTCTCTGTTTGGAAATAGCGCTACCAGGTCAGCTTCATTCTGATTGTTCAAGGCATCAGTGCAGCAGAACGGCAAAATCTTTATTGACATGACAATAGTCAACCCACCTGTTCAGACAGACGCACATGAGTGTGGAGCGCGTCAGATTTTTTCTGTAGCAAGTAAGTAGTGGCATCATCAGTAGTGCGCATTCATTGGCTCCATCAGGATTCAAACACTTGACCACCAGCGGCTTTCATCACCAGTCAGCCGCTTATGCCACTGGGCCACGGGGGACAGCTCCAGACCGACATATTTTACAAGCTAACTGTGATATAGCGCGTCTTATGCTCCAATGACATGCAAGTTACGAATGTTGCAGAGGACAGGGTTGGCTTCGAAAGACTCGAAGTCCACTAAAGGTAGCCATGTACGACACAGCATTTAGAAACTCTTAGGGCGGATATATCTTAATGTATTCATGAGTAGTGGATTATGTTATGTATAACTGAGCTTCATTATAACCAGCTTCCAAATCAAATAGTCCTTCACATGTTCGGAAAGGCACTAGACTGCGATTTCAGCGTGTTGTGCGTCATCAGTAGCGTACATCCATCGGAAGTCCTGTCGTTCAGGCCGCAGCATTCTGGAGCTGCACATTGTTGTGGATATCTCACCCTAGATGGAATGAGCTGAAACAACCTAATGGCCTAAAGACTACTAGCTAAGTCCAATGAAGTTCCTTGTTAGTGTTTCGATGTATCTCTTGCTCGCTCAGTTTCTATCTCCGAATCACTTTTCTGCAAATTCGTTACCACACTGAAGGTATGAGAAAATCCGATCCTCTACATTAAAATATGCATTACTATCAGGGTAACAACGATAAGATACTCCTCACGAGTATCCATTCAAGCTCTTTCGTGGACGGTAAACTCTCGGTCAAATTTGCCCAAGCCTGTTTGAATACAGGCATTGAAGCATGTAGCACACCTGATGGCAGGAACCATATTAGATAATGTGAGCAACGATATGCTTCACGAGTGATAGGCCAAATTATCCCCGCATATGACTGAGGTGGCTCGGAAAGTCATTCTTGTTGGACCCATACTCGGATATATTTGTGCTTCACCAGAAGCAATCCACACATTTTGGAGCACCCTGAGTTGATACATAGGGTGTTTTCTATGTCTAGAATTTTGAGTTATGGTTGCAATTTTAACCTGATACAGTGGTCGACGCTAGCTGTCAGAGTCTGACTGACTGGTTTCCACGATACCGCTCTGTTGTGTAGCCAAGTGAGGAAATATTAGCTGGCCCCATCGAACAGTATGAGTAA